AGTATAATAAGTTTGAAAAGTTGGAATAACATGAATAGCTTTAAGGATTTCTAACTTTAATAAGTGTTTTTTTAAAATAAGATAATATACACGCAAGTAATTTGGATTTTTTTCAAATTATTTATTCACAACATATCAAGTCCCCCTGTTTTATATTGTGGTTCTTCTGTATAATTACATTTAAATAAACATTTACAATAATTAATAAAAACGTATGCCTTACTTGGATATACAGCCCCCTCAAGAGTAACTTAAGGAGAGAAGCATTTTGTTTGTAAAGAAAATAATGTTCCTGAATATTATCTAGTTGGTTAAGTATCGGAATTAAGATTGGGAAAAATTATATCTATTAATAATTGTATGATTCAGTTGTGAATAAGAAAAACAATAACACATGGTCCTTACACTTTATATAGACGTAAATTGTCGGACAGGTATCTCATTCGCACAAAATTTTTTTATTTATTTTTCTTTCCAAAATCTCACCTGAGATCTCAGATGAGAATTTTGCATGAGATCTCAGGTGAGAAATCACATGAGATATCAGATGAGATCTCAGGTAAGATTTGTCAGGAGGGTTCACATTACATGTCAACACACTACGGTGTTTTATTTAGTAAGTCTCGGGTAAAGCCGAGACGGGGGGCTGCTAGTACGTTTATATGGGCAAGTGCATAAAAAAATGTCAGATTTTATTAACTTGGTTGCCTTGAACTGTTATAACCAAACTTGTTTAGGTTATAGTCTTCACTGTTTAATTTTGGTCAGTCTAATTTTGCAATTAATCCTTTTAACTAAATATCTGCAGCATGGTGGACTGGTAAGTTGTATAACCAAGCTTTAACTAGTGTTACTCACTTTGTTCTTCTTTTGCTAATGATGTTTCTAATATCTCAATATACTTAAAATATACATACAACATATAGTTTCGTATAACATTATTTTATTATATTTTAAGTACAACTTATATATACTTAAAAACATTATTGTTAACTTCATTTCAAAATTTTTAAAATAAATGTAAAGTTATGATATGAAGGAAGAATTTTGTATTTTAAGTACTTCTATTTTTTTTTCAATACTAGAACTTGAAAGTTCAGTGTATTAGTAAATAAGTAGTTCTTCTGTGTTTTTAATTGTCATAAATCTTATTTTTAAAATGTATTTTATACATTACAAGAACTAAATTTTTCTTAAGAAAAAGGAAACATCATGAGAAATAAGCTGTGACAAATAAATAAAAAAATTGTTAACAATCAAAAATTTCTTGCCTTACCATGCTTTCATCGTTTGCTTGATTCTCCGCATCATTTTGTGTAAATATATTTTTAGGATTCTCACATCTTTATACCAATATATATAAATGACCAGAAGAAAAACAAGATCTTCTGTAAGATCTAAAGTAAAGTCCTAATCAAATTTATCAAAATTTGGACCTTGTGACTTATTAATTGTAATGGAAAAAGCTATAACTATTGGAAGCTATTTTCCGTAAGTAATTAATCTTGTTTGGTTTCACGCCCAAGCGCGACAGCCGAGCGAGGCGCTGCGTGCACTTCCGCCATGCTCACGGGCTTCCGCCTTGCCGGGAGCCGCCTCTGCGTTCGGGCTCTTGAGCACTGCTCTCCGAAACGACCAGACGCTTATCCCGCTCACACTCACGACGCCTCTCACGCTGTAATCAACCCGCTTGTACAATATTAAATAAAGTGTTTTACCAAACATTGGTCCTTCGAGCCAGATTCCATGGAGATAACCAGTGACCAGCAGCCCAGAGGACAGCCGGTGGTTCCACATTATTTGAAGCAATGTAAGTATAAGTGACAAACAAAGCGCGAACATGGCCGCCGCGGTCGCCATAGTGCCCGCGGCCCGGCACCAGTCGTTCGGCCACGGCAATATTGAAGCCGTGTCGCCCTGCACGCGTGAAATGTTGTGAGGGGCTGCCGCGGCTGACAGAGCTCGCGGTCCAGTCATTTGGCCCAGCCACGGCGGCAAGCAGGCTGTGTCACTGACGGCCAAAGTTGACTAGTGGTATAGACGTGGCCCGGCTTCATCAAGCCGCCATTGTTGCAATGATCCGCTAACGGCCTCCTTGTCGGCTGTGGCGGCCATCTTGTCAGCTCAAGCGCGTCGCCTGCCGATTCGACTCGAATTGTCGACCCCCTTAATACTGCCAGCTGTGGCTCGGTGGCATATTCCGCTCAAGCATCGAATACTAATGTTTCAGAATGGACGAAGGCTGGACCGCGCTGTTCGGTGCTCAGTCGGCTCTCGCCGAGGTTGTTGGCCACCTGGCCCGCACCATTCATGAGATGGAGCCAGCCCGCTGGAGCTCGGGCATGGTAGAAGCGAGGTTGAAGTTGCTCGGCGGATATTGGGGCGATTTTAAAGCCAACCATCTCAAGCTCATCGAAGCTCCGCCACCGGAAAAGGCGTCTCGGGTGGTCCAGCTGTACACTAACGTGGAAGCGCACTACCTCGACGCACGGTCTTGCCTCTTCGACGCAAGAGACTCGGAATGTTTGGTAAAACACTTTATTTGATATTGTACAAGCGGGTTGATTACAGCGTGAGAGGCGTCGTGAGTGTGAGCGGGACAAGCGTCTGGTCGTCTCGGAAAGCAGTGCTCAAGAGCCCGAACGCAGAGGCAGCTCCCGGCAAGGCGGAAGCCCGTGAGCATGGCGGAAGTGCACGCAGCGCCTCGCTCGGCTGTCGTGCTCGGGCGCGAAACCAAACAATCCGCCCGCCTTGATCCTGGATCGAAGAACTACGTGCCGCCCGCCAAACCGGGGTCGGTCAGGGAGTCTTCAGGAGGCGGCAGAGCCGCAGGAGGCGCTGACACAGGCAGCAAGACCATCTTGGTGATGGATCGCTTGTACACGCCAGCCGCCGTCTTGAGGGTAGCAGCGCGGACAAAGCCGTCGGCTCCCGGGTGGACGCTGATGACACGGCCGATCGGCCATCGGCCGCTGGACTGCATAAGTGTAGCGTCAAGGAGGACGACCACATCGCCGACGATGAAGTTCCGGCGAGGAGTAGTCCATTTTGACCGCTGTTGGAGTGTGTTGAGGTATTCTCGGCTCCAGCGGGACCAAAACTAGGCGCGGACCCCCCGAACGAGCTCCCAGTGGGCGAGCGCATCCAAGCTCTCCGCAGGGGGGCTGGGCAGAACGATGGAGTTGAGAGGGCCACCAACAACGAAGTGCCCTGGGGTGAGAATATCAAGGTCTCCAGTGTCTCCAGATAGCGATGTCAGTGATCGGCTATTTAAGACCATCTCGATGCCAACGAGCACCGTGAAAAATTCCTCGTAGGTGAGATGGCGTGACCCCATGACGCGCTGGAGGTGACTTTTGGTTGACTTGACGGCAGCCTCCCACAAGCCACCTAAGTGAGGAGCACCCGGTAGAATGAACTTCCAAGCAATTCCTTGATCGGCGAGAGAGCCCGCGAACAATACTAAGTGCGTCGAGGTAGTGCGCTTCCACGTCAGTGTACAGCTGGACCACCCGGGCCATTATCCCAGGCGTTGTCCACAGTTCCAGGGGCTTGATGTACGCGCACGGCGGGAGCTCGTCTACCAGGCACGGCTGTGCTTCAATTGCCTTCGACCCGGGCACGCTGTGAAGTACTGCCCCTCCCGGTCGGCTTGCCAATATTGCCGAGAGCAGCATCACAGCTCACTGCACGATGGTGCCCGTTGCCGCCGCTTTGGGCAGCCCGACGGCTCTACATCATCAAAGCAGCCCCGCACGGACCCGCCCACCTCTTCATCGGGAGAGCACTCGACTGACGCGTCACTTCAAGCGTGACTAGCCGAGCTTCCGACCGCCCTCGTTCATCTGAGTGGTCCTCCTGGTCGTCGAGTTCCGGCCCGAGCGCTGATCGATGCGTGCTCCGAGGTTACCGTCATCTCTGCGACTCTCGCGCGCCTGGTCGGCGCACGACTAGAAACCATCGAAGCCAGCATTTCCGGCGTCGGTGGCGAGTCCGCTGTCCGGTCCAGAGTCCGGGCCCATCTCCGCCTCGAGCTTCCAGGGCCCGCACCACCGGTCACGCTGACAGCGCTGTGTTTGCTCAGGCTTGGCCTGGTATACCCCTCCACCCCGCTGCACCCGGAGGCAATCCGGCAGTGGGCTGACTGCGAGGGCCTCGCCGATTCTTCGTTTGGCACGCCACAACGCGTTGACCTCCTCATCGGCGCCGACTACTACCACTTGCTGCTACGACCCGGCTACACTCAACGAGGAGAAATCGTCGGGCAGCTCACAGTCTTCGGCTGGGTATTGGCAGGCCGTGCTGTCGGGCTCGCTCCAGGTACGTCAGCCGTCTGTGCAGCTGCCCAATCCGACGTGGCTCCGCCTTGGCACAACGAGCTAACCGCTCTGCTACAGTGGTTCTGGGAGATGGAGGATCTTCCTCAGGCTCACCGCCGCTCAGATGAGGACATCGAGTGCGAGCGTGCTTTCGCAGACCACCGACGCGCCACGGACGGACGGTACATCGTGCGCCTCCCGCTGAAGGGCAGCGGTTCGCTTCTTCTTGGCGACAGTCTTCAGAGCGCCAAGGCCTCCTTGGCAGCCCTGCAACGCTGGCTTCGGCGAAGCCCCGATATGGCTGTGGAGTATAGTCGATTTATGGCTGACTATCTCGCGATGGGCCACATGCGCCCGCTCACCAGCGCTGAGCTTGCAGCTACAGCTGGGCCTGTCAACTACATCCATCATCATGGCATCTGGCAGCATGCTGATCGCGGGCGCAAGCTCCGAGTAGTCTTCAACGCGTCCAACCCGACTTCCAGTGGCCACAGCTTGAATGACGTCCTCCACGCTGGACCCAGACTCCCAGCCGCGCTCCCATCGGTGATCATGCGCTGGCGGCGGCACCGCATTGCCTTCTGCAGCGACATCCGCATGATGTTCCGGCAGATTTGGATCGACTACCGTGACGTCAACCTGCAGCGGATCGTCTGGGCTGCCGATCCCAGCCAGCCTCCAACCCACTACCAGCTGCTCACTGTGACTTACGGCGAATCGTGCTCGCCTTACCTGTCGCTGCGTACCCTCCAACAGCTATGCCAGGACGAAGGCCACAACTGGCCCGAAGCTGTGTCAGCCGCCCTGTGTGACCGCTACGCCGACGACTTTCTCTCCGGGGCCGACGACGTCACCGCGGCTCGGCGCCTCCGCGACCAGCTGAGCGGGCTCATGAAGGCCGGCGGCTTTCCCCTGCGGAAGTGGGTGGCCAATGTCCGCGAGCTGCTCGACGATCTGCCTGACGACGTCCGCTTACGTCCGACCTGGGAGCAGCTCAGCGCTGAAGGCCTCGTCAGCGAGCTCGGGGTCAAGTGGGATCCACCGTCGGACTGCTTTCAGTTGACGCCTCCACCACTCCAGCCGCAGAGCACAAAGCGGACGATGCTCGCGGCGCTCGCGGGTCTGTTCGACCCATGCGGCTGGCTCGCGCCGATCGTGTTGAATGCCAAGCTCTTGCTCCAGGATCTCTGGCGCGCCAGACTGGGCTGGGACGAGCCTGCGCCGATCTCAATGACTCGCCGATGGGCGGAATTTACCGCCGAGCTCCAGGCCATCTCCACCTTCACCTTACCGCGCTGGATCGGAGTTGGGCCTTCTTCCGAGCTTCACCTGCACGGCTTTTCGGACGCCAGTCGCCGCGCGATGGCAGCCGTCATCTACTCTCGCCTCGCGCCCGGGGCTGGGCCGGCGCTCTGCCACATTCTTCTGGCTCGGACGAAGCTCTCGCCGATTCGCTCGCTCAAGCCGGCACCAGAGACATCCGCGCGCATGACGATTCCGCGCCTCGAGCTCCGCACCGCACTGATTGCCGCCAAGCTCCTGCGGACCGCTGCCGACGAGCTACGCGTACCTGTCGACCGCTGTCACGCATGGTGCGACTCACAGATCGTTCTGCACTGGCTGCGTTCCGACAGGCCAACCAACAACGTGCTGATCGACAACTATGTCGCCCAAATCCAGGAAATGCTGCCTTCGAGTGTCTGGCGATACGTGCCGACCCAGTCAAATCCAGCCGACCTCGCGACCAGAGGTGCCGACATGACCGGCCTTCGCTCGCAGCGCACTTGGTGGGAGGGCCCCGCTTGGCTCGCTGAGGACGTCGACTCGTGGCCCCTAGACCCGCTCCCCGCACCGAACCAGCATTCATCCATCTGCTGCGTAGTGCAGCAGCTCGACGCCAGCTACCTCGAGCAATTCTCCAACTTACGCATGCTACTAAGCTTCCTTGTACGCATTCGTCGATTCGTCTGGAGCCGCTTGGGCAGGGGCCCCATGCTTTCGGTCGCTTCACCTCTTACGCCGACCGAACTCCACGACGCTTTTCTTGCATGTGTACGCCTCAGCCAGGAGAAATCATTTTCGGACGACCTCCAGTGTCTTCGACGGGGCGAACGTCTGCGGAACACGAACCCCTTGGTACCGTTAGCAGCCTTCCTCGATGACGACGGGATTCTGCGCGTCGGCGGGCTGCTAGAGCATTCACCGCTGACCTACGAGGACTGGCACCCGCCAATTCTCAGCGGCGCCTCTTCCCTCGCTTCCATGGTCATCGTCTGGGCGCACTCTCGGGCGCTGCACGGTGGATACCGTGTCACCAGTGCCTCCGTCTGTAAGCGCGCTTAGCTCCTCGATGGGCCCTGGCGGATCAAGGCTCACCTCCGCAGGTGCGTCGTCTGCATTCAGCTGCGAGCACGACCGGTGACTCAACTCATGGCCCCACTGCCGTCGTCTCGAGTCTCCCCTTCTCGTGCCTTTGCCTGCACTGGAGTAGACTACGCTGGCCCTTTCCATGTACTCTCCACCAGAGGACGAGGAGTCTGGACCACGAAAGGCTACATCGCCGTTTTTGTGTGTTTCACCAACAAGGCCCTGCACCTAGAGCTGGTCGGCGATCTCTCGGCTGCGTCCTTCTTGGGCGCCCTCCACCGATTTGCTGGACGCCGCGGTCGGCCCGGTGAGATATGGAGCGACAACGCGACTTGCTTCCGCCGCGCTGATGTTGAGCTGCGCGATGCCTTGCTGACAGCCGAGCTGGACTGGGGATTGGTCGCGGGCTCTCTCGCCAATCAAGGAATTGCTTGGAAGTTCATTCCACCGGGTGCTCCTTACTTCGGTGGCTTGTGGGAGGCCGCCGTCAAGTCAACCAAAAGTCACCTCCAGCGCGTCATTGGGTCACGCCATCTCACCTACGAGGAATTTTCCACGGTGCTCGTTGGCATCGAGATGGTCTTAAATAGCCGACCACTGACACCGCAATCTGGAGACACTGGAGACCTTGATATTCTCACCCCAGGGCACTTCCTTGTCGGTGGCCCTCTCAACTCCATCGTTCTGCCCGGCCCCCCTGCGGAGAGCTTGGATGCGCTCGCCCACTGGGAGCTCGTTCGGGGGGTCCGCGCCCAGTTTTGGTCCCGCTGGAGCCGAGAATACCTCAACACACTCCAACAGCGGTCAAAATGGACTACTCCTCGCCGGAACTTCATCGTCGGCGATGTGGTCGTCCTCCTCGACGCTACACTTTTGCAGTCCAGCAGCCGATGGCCGATCGGCCGTGTCATCAGCGTCCACCCGGGAGCTGACGGCTTTGTCCGCGCTGCTACCCTCAAGACGGCGGCTGGCGTGTACAAGCGATCCATCACCAAGATGGTCTTGCTGCCTGTGTCAGCGCCTCCTGCGGCTCTGCCGCCTCCTGAAGACTCCCTGACCGACCCCGGTTTGGCGGGCAGCACGTAGTTCTTCGATCCAGGATCGAGGCGGGCGGATTGTTTGGTTTCGCGCCCGAGCGCGACAGCCGAGCGAGGCGCTGCGTGCACTTTCGCCATGCTCACGGGCTTCCACCTTGCTGGGAGCCGCCTCTACGTTCGGGCTCTTGAGCACTGCTCTCCGAGACGACCAGACGCTTGTCCCGCTCTCACTCACGACGCCTCTCACGCTGTAATCAACCCGCTTGTACAATATCAAATAAAGTGTTTTACCAAACAAATCTTAAAGATAAATTATTATCAGTATTTAACGTGATTTTGGGAATGAGAACTTTAATACCCAATTTTTCACTACTTACTATTTAAGCTTTAAAATCATATGTGAATGATTTTGTAATATGTAATCTTTTGCCATTGCACAAGCCAATGGATACACTCAACTTTCTTCATTATAGCTTATAAGTTTGTTATTAGTCGTTAAAATAACTGGTTATTTAGCTATTTATACCATCCCCATTAATTTGTTTACAATTGTTATTTATTTTCCATCTCTGAGGAACTGTAAAAGAATTTTTCATTCCGTTTTTAATGTCCATTAACAATAATAACAGTTGTAAATCTGTGAATCGCATTTTATATTTGAGTCCGTAATTATAAAGTGTTTTCATGAAAATGAATACTTCATAGTTTTAATAATTATAAGACTTTTACACATATGCTCTATCACTGGAAATATTTGTCTAACAATGCCTTCTAAAATAAATAATTTTTCATTGAATAAAATATTATTATTACAAAAGTCTTCTAAAGTATTATCAACTATTTATTAAGCTTTTTTAGGGATTATTAAAGCTTCGTCCAAAAATAATTACATCTTCTTCTTATAGTTTTTTTTTTTTATTCGTTTTGTGTTCTAAAAAAAAACTTTCAATGTTACTTAAATCTGATGATAATGGAAATTGTCTATTACTTGTCATAAATGTAGGTAATAAAATTAAAGCAACTCCTGTCCAAGCTATAGATATAACTTGTTGTTTAGAAAAAAAAAAAAAATTTAGTTTTTTAAACAAATATGTTTTTCCTGAACCTCATGCACCCTTGATAAAATACTGTTTTGTATCACTATTAAAAGTTTCATTATAAATTTTCTTTCAACCACTACTTAGTTAAACAAATAAGTCCTTAAAATTTTTTTCTTCATTATTTTCAGTTTTATTATCCTTAATATCATCAAATGTTATTATTGCACTTGGTTCCAGCCATCAACAATTCTAAATTATATCCATAATTAAATAATGAGATTATAATATTTACATGACTTTTCTCCAGATTTAAGGATTTTATTTAAATGTAATACAGCATTATTTTGGTTATCGCTTTCTATATTATTAATAAGCAATTCATGGAATTATTTATAAATGTTCCTACCACAAATGTTTGCAGGTACTCAGAACCATGCAAAAAATTTCCTCAGTTGATATGGCAGCATGAAAGATTAGTTGGGAGATTGCTGACTGCAATATTACGGAATGTGCCTACTATTTTCTACCGGTGTAAGCGCCCCATTGCCACCAAGGCGCTGAACCAGGAGCACATTTTTTTTTAAGAAGCATATAAGGGGTATGCACCTACAAGGAGAGGAGATGATTCACGTTTGAAATAACTTTTAAACAGCAGTGGAAGGTGTGCATACGTACATATCAGAATGAATAAGATATTTAGCTATATCAATTGAAATTGCAGTATTAATTGTAGTGTAAAATTATATATTTAAGTACACAAGTAAAAAGTGCTTATATTAAGTCCTATTTGGACAATTAGTAAGTCTTCCTATAAATATGAGACTGACAAAATCGGTGGACATTACATTTGTTGTTAACTAAACAGAGTTTCTGAAAGTACTGGTTTTAAAATCGATTGTTGTTGCTTAAAAAAGTTGTGATAAGGATGACTATTCAAAACCCGTAATCAGATTATAAAATTTTTATATGTAACAGTTTGTGCACTGTTATCCAGCTATCTGTTATCAAGTCAAGTTCATCTATCATTGAATTAAGTCATTATGTTATTGTGTAGGAAAAAAATGAGCTGTAGAGTGAGTAGTTTACTAGTATTTATTACTTGATTATCACTCAAAATTACTTTAAAGTTAGCTCGCACAAATTGTATACGCGTAATTCTGTCGTAATTTGCTCAGATCGACTTAAAAAATTGTTACAAAAGAAGTTGGTTGAAAAAAAACTTTTTCATGGCATTTCTACTGTTCACAACATCAATGACAAATGTCTAAAGAGATGCAAATACATGATTAACTAGTCAAAAGTTATACGAAATTTTATAAAAGTCAGTTTTCATTGATTTTTGAATAATTGTATCTCTTTCTAACACGTGTAGCTAAGCTCCTTTAAAAGTTCAAGTGTTCTTACTTGGCTTAAACAAAAGCTGGAGCTAAGACCTATCGATTGAAAAATAATTTTGTTCGATTGTGTACCTTCATTAAAAAGTTAAAGCTGTTTTAATTAGAATGTAAATATCGCTAATAATGTGATTTTGGCTAAAATTCAGTATTTTTCATAAAATTACTGTAACTGTGAATTCGGTGGTATAAGATTTAAAGATTTGTGTTTTAATCATTAGGACTATGTTTTTTTTTATTTAAGCTCAGATAAAGCCACCTAATGGAGTGCACCACTTGGCTACCAACGTTGGAAGTAGCACCACCGTTTTTGCATTTATGTAGCGAAAAAAGGCCAATTGAACGAAACCCCGAGACACGTGTCTCGTTTTTAGCCCAACAGTGATGAAAAAAAAGTTTCGCTGAGATGTATTGCTCTGCAACGAAAAAAAAGCACTTTGAGGTGAGGTACAGTCAAAATGGAAGAGCTTGGAATGGAATTTTCAAAGTTTATAGTGGTTGTATGACTCATAGAAGTATTACAATGACTTGTCCACCCACACTTAATTTACTATCCTTAAATGCAATAAAAAAAACTGTAGTTTGTGGACCTACACACGTACATTAAGTGGTTGTTCTATGGGGGGTCAGAATGGAATAAAATGTTTGTACGCACCAAATACGCAAATAGAAGAGCTTGGCTATTCGAGATGTAACAATTTCTGGTACTACTATCATGAGGATTTGTTAATTTTAGTCCTATACTTTGAAAAGTGACCATTGGTTAGCATTTCTTATCCAAAAAGTTACGAGTTTGAACTGATTCTTGTTACAACCGTTATTATGGTGTAAATATGCGGACAAAATACATGCGGTGAAAACTTACTCCTCTTTGTCAATTTTTGGTGGAGTTGAGGTACAAATCGTATCCCCAATAAATTGAGTTGTGGACATAGGTTGGAATGGAAAATTCGACTCCAAATAATTGATTATCACAATGGAATAATGAATACATCGGTATTAGACAATATGTTAAGTGAAATTGACAACATTTAACACAATTGAACGTTCTTGAAGTTTTGGATTTCACTATGGCATGCGAGTGCGAGTACCAGACATAATCTGAGCAAGTTACGGCAAAATCACCCATACACATATTGTTAATTTACAATCAACAGTAAGTAACATTTTTAAGGTTCCATTTACATTTTCGTTTACATAAAAATTAATTTATGAAGAAATTGAGTATAGTTCGTTCAAAGAAAAAAATATGACTATTGTTTGATTGTAAAAGAATGCGCATTTTTATATGGGCATATTAATATTTATAAATTGGAAGGTAGCTAAGTTCCGTCGATTGAGGAAGCCTACTGAGGGCCTATCAAACGCTCCTGACGCTGCCAACGTAGGACCTCAGTAGGCTATAGACGCGGCTTAAGTAGGCCTTACTAATCGTCTACTTACAATTTCTGCTTGGGCAGTGGCATGTACCGTGTATATAGCTTAAGCTATGTAAAAACAATTATTATTGTACATTTCTTATAAATATTATTCATTATATTTTAGAACATAACCCTTCCCTTTATGTTTGCCAATAAATTGTTGGATATTTGAAACATATCGACTGCTTCGAGGAAGACTATTCCAGGCTGAGGCTTTCACGAATACAATGCCTGCGCTATGTACTGCGAGCAAGACTATTCCAACTCAGTGCTGTAACGAAAAGAAATCCACCACGTTTTATTGCATCGAAGAGAATCCCTGAGCTCGGTAATGAGACGAAAACAATTCCAGCGAGCTGTGCTGCGTCGAAGACAATTCCTCCACGTCACTTGCGTCGAAGAGAATTCCCGTGCTCTGTACTGCGATGAAAATAATTCCTCCATGCTAACTTGCAAACAAAATTATTTCTGTGGTCCATGCAGAGATAAAGAAAATCCCAGCACCCTTTGATGTGACGAAGTACCACCATGCCATGCTGTGACGAAGGAAACGCTGAGACTTTGTTGAGAAAGTAACACAAAATAATTAAGTAAATATGCTAGCAGGTAAGTTCAATCATTTCTAACCCCAAGCTTCCCAAAAGTACGAATCTGTCTGGGTTGACCTGTGTTAATCATCTAAGGATAAATAGACATATAAATAAATAAATAATCTAAATCGGTAGTAAATAAAGAAATTAAAGGAATTAAATCTCTATAAACTTTAAAGTAACGTAGCAATCCCATGAAATAATCTTCCCGTTATCGTCATCTATGCTTGTACGAGTAGTTTTACATCGCTGAGGATAAAATTAAGAAATAGTTTTTGCAATTATTACTTATTCAACAGTACATTCTTTCTTAAAATAAACATTTTTTTATCTTATATAGATTAAATGTTTTATGACAGAATAATCACTAGATATATAACTATGATATTTACACAGAAGAACTTTTAAAATATCAATTGCTAATGTTCTATAGTCCAGAAGTTAAACATAATTTGGGTGTTAATTAACTTTTTTTTCGTAAAGGCAAATGATAAAGGAAAATGTAGTTACCAGTACATTTTCTTTTTTTTGTTAGCGTTAATACAATTGCATTTTAAATAAAATCGTCTACTCTAAAAGTTTTTTAAACTTCAAGTTCTAATAC